CACATAGCGCGCGTTGCTCCCGATCGCAGCGTGGCCCTGTAGGCAGCATCTTCTTTCTCTGCAGCTTCTTGACACTCCTCATAGTACCAGTTGTTCTTTCGGGCTCGCTGAAATCCGACTACTTCTTCGGCGGCGGTACTTAATGAGCGGGAAATGTGGTTCCACTGCTCGCATATGTCGGTTTGTTGAAGAGTGCTCTCTGAGAGCAGGGGTGAGAGTCGAGTAGCGAAAGCGCTGGCTGTCTGTTGTGATTGCTGCATTTCGACGTTAAGCTTTCCTTGCATATCTGGGCGCACATTTTTTGCTGCACAGAGGCGGGTGCGTATCTTGGCTGCAACAAGATAGTGGTCCGAGTCGATGTTTGGGCCTCGGAGTGTGCGTACGTCTAAAACACTGGAAGCGTGCCTTCCGTCTTTCACAACATAATCGATGACAAATACGTAGTTTAGGAAGAGCCTGCCTGAAACTACATATACAAAAAAGCAAATAAGCAAATGGATGTTTAAAATTGACAACAAACACCACGCTGTCGAGTTTAAATAGCGGCAAATCAGCTGCACTTGATAGAAGTTGGTTGAATAAGGAAAATGAATTAGCAACAAGAGTTTACGGGATATACATAGCTCAGTGGTTAACGCTTCTGACTTTGAACATCGATTACGCAGGTTCGATCCCTGCTGAAGTATAGAAAAAAGAAGTCTGATGAGGAGATGTGGTGATCTCTGAAATAGCTGCTATAACTTCTACCGCTTAGATTTGGTTGCTTTTTCAATTTTTCCTAATAAACAATCGTGGTAGAAAGCTCAATAAACAATTTTAACTTTTATTTTTGACTGAAAAAATATCAGTAAAAAAATAACGGTTAATCGCTGATTTTTTTGAAAAATGTAAAAAAAAAATTAATCATATATGATTAACATTCCTTGGCTAACAAGCATCACATTGCTATATACAAATGAGTAGTCCACTTGCAAAGTTCTCTATGTAAATTTTTTTCGATTTTTAGTTTCATATCCACTAACAATACAGTGCAAAATCCTTATATATTCTGAAAAAATAGCGTCAAATGTTAGCTACTCTAGCAAAATTCGCTATAATACTTACTGTATGTATACATACACTTTCAAAAGTCGCTATAATATTTATTGTACGTATTTATATAAGTTCAAAAGTCTCCATATTCCGATGAACTTAGAAAACTGCAAGAAAACGTGGTAGTTTCGGTGCCTAGTGGAAGACGTCTTAAAAAAGAAGCAGACCAACCTTCATGGAAGAGAGACTCAAAACTCGCTATATTAAATTTTTATATATAAAATTTGCAAAAACTACCACATTGCGATTTTGTTTTTTAATGTTATTAGGCTCTTATTTATCACAATTTTCAGATAATAAAAAGAAATATACAATTTGGATGTTACTTGTTGTTGTAGACGTTTTTTTTTTAATTTATGGCTTACATTATTTATAAAATCACATAAGGCTGTTTGCAAGTGGACCACTCAAATGTTTAAAAGTCCAATTGCTTCCGACTGACTTTTTGAATTGAAATTTTGAAAATAACTATTATTTTCGATCCCTGAAAAAATCTACAAATTTAAACAAAATTGCATCAAAGATTCAAATGAAATTACAACTCACAGCATTGCCATCAAACAAAAAAATTGTTGTTCGGTTCGGTTCGAAGCCCGAAAAAATCGCCGGTTCGGTTAAACACCGGTTTGCAGCCCTGGCTTGAACGCTACGAATATTTGTAAGGTGGTGGAAGAGGGTTGCCACCTGTTTAAAATGTTAAATTCAAGTTATTTTATATATGAATTATAAAAATATGGGTATCAAGCGAAGAGGGTTTGAAAATTTTTTATTTCTGAACTGTATTTATAATCAGTTAATTAAAATATGTATCGCAGTGTTTGGCGAAGGAGGCTAACAAATATTAAGCTTAAAAATACTTTTGAAGAGGGCAGCCACCTATTTGAACGGTCTAACTCATTTAACTAATTCAAAAAGTATATGAATTATAAAAACTCCGTAGCCAAGCGAAAGAATGTTAAAAAATCTTTAAAAAGTTATGTTCAAATTATTCAGTAAGTTGGATGTATTATTAAAAGCATAGTTGCCAACTTGGTGCTTTAAGCACTAGATTTAGTGCTTTTTGAAAATTAAAACGCAAAAAAAAAAATTATTTAGTGCCTAGTGCCTTTTTTAGTGATTTTTTCTGAACTAAAATTACTTTGAGATAGTTAAAACCTGAAATAATTTGAAATATTTAAGGCTGTGGCAGCACTGAATTTACAAGAATCTACAAATTTAAATGGACTAAAATACAACCATGATTGATAAAAAGCTGAAGTTGCAAGCCCACCTTGTTAAATTCTATTCGCGTTGAAAATGATAGTACGCAAGTAAGTTAAGTATTTGTTTTTTCTTTTCTAATTATTTGTACAAATTTTGTTTTTTTTTTGTACCACCTGAGTAAAACACATTGTTTCTTGGTGCTGAATCCAAATCTGGCCTCACAATTGCTCTAGCACTAGAATTATCCTAACCTCAAAGTGCCAAAAACACGGTTTTTAGCGATATTTGAGGTTATGTAATGAAAACATCAAATTATTTGTTCATATCTAATTAGGGCATCAATTCCGTTTGATGCGATTCGATTTTTCTTTCTCGAGATATACCAGTTTTAATGTGCAGTACTTCGGTATTATGTTATGAAAAAAGCATCCCTTGATTCAAAAAATTTGGTGCTTTTACTGTAGTAAAACGCTTTTTGTCCAAGTTTTTGGTGCTTTTTGAAAATCAAATGATGGCAACACTGATTAAAAGATGGGTATAAATCGAAATGGGTTTGAAAGGGATTTATTCCTGATCTTTATTCAGGAGGGTTGCCATTTGTTCGAACAGTAGAATTGGAATTAGTTCATCAGTTTATTGAAATACATGTGCATCACAATGATTTAAGAAGAATTTAGTTGGAGAAGAGTTTTGAAAAACAATTTCAAAAATTAGGGATCAAATTAGAAATCCTGGCCAGTCGATGAATGAAAAAGTTTTATTTTTTTCATTAACTATTTTTTCATATAGGGTGTGTTGAAATTCGATGAAAATAAAAACATGCACTATGCCAGACCGCTCTTCACTCAGAAACGGTTGCACGGTTTTGATGAAATATGGCACTCGGATCTCTTATAACTCTGACTAACATTTTGAATATTTATTTTAAGTTCTTTAAATTAAATTTTGGGCGTTTTAACGCCATGCGGTGCACTGGTTATTATCATTATACTTATGTCGGGGATACCCGCGCTGCGACCTAAGAAGATCTTTTGTGCTTCACCCTATTTGTAATCACTCCAACCTAAGGCTATTTAAGAAGTTAAATACTTTGGAAGGCGCTATGTTTCAAACTTTGAATGAAGAAGACAATCTTTTCCCAATGTTTATCAGTCTGCTATTTATGATACATGGGCAGTGACACAGAATTTGATCTGGGGTTTCCTCCACCAGCTCCCAAAAGCTTAGGGAGCATGCAAACGCATTTGGGCTCCGAGCTTTGCGAGACTGTCAGCCCATTCGTTGCCTTCAAACCCTTCATATCCCGGAACCCACCAAAGCGTTACGCTATTGTGGGCCTCCTCCAAGTGGTTCAAAAGAGTTTTACGGCTGCCCACAAACCTGATGCCGTTTTAAAATAGTCTAAGGCTTTTAATCTGCCTAACTATCCGAAATAGTATTAATTTTGGATCCATTTGTCCTTCTACGCAGATTGCGATGACTTCCGTCTGGAATATAGTTGGGTATGTGCAAACTCTGGAATCTTGGTCCAAATACGCCTGCCCCAGTACTCTCGTCGTCCATCTTTGATCTTTCAGTATACCATACTTGGGACTCTTCGTCAAACATAGTTGTTATCGCTTCACGGCAGTGCTTTCAGGAAATCTCACCTAGTAGGGTTTGTAGAAGGATAACTCGGAATTATCCTGGAATGGCCTTAGAACCTCCATATGACCCCGAAGATCTTCAATTTTCTTGCTGATCATATTGGGAAGTCGTAGAATAGACAAAGGAGGAATGCCTGTAATGACATAAAGGGCATCCGTAGCACAGGTGCCCATATCTCCTGTGATGCCCGCGCGGACCGCTTGCTCAAGGTGGCACCCGCATTTACTTGCTTAGCTAGCTTGTAGGCACATAAAGTATATACCTTGGATGTTCATATTGTATATTGGAAATATTGTACTTACCAATCAGGTATTATATGTATTTACATCTCCACGGTTCCGCCGTTATACGGTGAAATATCCGTGTAAACAAGGTTGCTAAAATATATTATATTTTTCGCAAATAACTATTACCTATTGTCGCGGAACCTACCAAAATCCAATCTAGCCTACCAACCTACCAAATAGAAAAAAACCTACCAGTATTGGTAGGAAAATCTCATGTTTGGCAACACTGATTCTAAACAAAAGCTTAAAGTTTTCGGCCCTGGTCGTGCCATAGTAATGTCATAAACGTAGTATATTTGACATGCTTCATGCATTTTCCTACATTTCGTTCTAGCTGTCAAAGCAAATCTGGCATGGCCTATATATCATTGCCTGAATTCACAAAGGCTCTAACCAACAGATTTTTTATTTTACAGGAGAAGCAAAAAAGATAAAATTCAAATCATGCGTACGTATATGGCGTTTTAAAAAGTGGCATAACTCCGTTGTTTTTGGTACTAACACTTTAAAATTTTTAGTAAAGGTGTATTTTAATATATCCTACAAATATCTGTGAAAAGCGCTGTTTCGAAAAAAGTGTTGGTTAGGGCCTTTGTGAATTAGGGTGACGATATGTATGTACATATATCTTGAAATTTCGTTTTTGAACTAATCTCCAAAACTTAAGTATATACATAGGTATGTATTTTACCTACCTCATTGCGCGACGCGTCAAGTCATCAACCCTGAACCTAGTGCTTTCAGCACAAAATACAAATGTAGAAAATCGTGTAGAATGCTGTTTTGAAAACATAATCGAGTGTATTTATAAGTTTTATTGTCGAATTTGTAGTGTAGGTACGTTTTAATGTTTTTCAAAAGATGCGTATGCATGTTCATTTCGTTATTGTTAATTAGTATGTATGTAATTTCTATATGTACAATATATGAATGTATGTACATATGTACAGACTATGTATACTCTCATGTAAGAATGTACAATTATTACATAAGTATAATGTAAATGTATTAGTTTTCTTGTGTTGGTGCAATTAAGGTGTTAACTCACAGTTCGTTCCAAAACGAGTTACAAAATTTTAACGTCAAGATTTTTTGTAACCTTTTAAGCATCAAACTTTGAGCAGTCTTTTCCGCCTGTCATTGCAAAAGTTTACTGGTGTTTCAAGACCTTTCTTCTTTGCTCCACTCGGCAATTATATTACGGAGCTGACAACAAACCTTGGAGTAAAGCTATACGCAAGATACGTCGATTACAGCATACGTCTTGTAAGGGGAGACAAGGATGAACAAATTCTAGGCTATCTCAGCGACCAACACACGAATATTAATTTCAATATGGATAAGGAAAACGAAGGAAAAATAAACTAATTGGACATAACAATTAAAATAAATACGGTTACCAACAAATGCGAATTCGGGATATTTAGAAACCCCATGGCCACAGACACGATAATACACAACACAGGGTTGACATTACATCAAAATTGTAATTGTTTTACAAATATTTGTAATTTTTCTTTTACCTTAATTTGTTTGGTTTTATCAGCCATTTTGTTAAAAAAAAAAATCTAATGTATAAAACGCCCCAATAAATGAAAAAATCTGGTTGATGTTGCCTTAATGCATCCCAGATGTGAGATTACAAAAAGTAGATAATTAAAAACATACCCTTCGAGTGTAGACGGCGTCGTTTTACAATTTTGCATGTGAAACAACAATACGGCTAGAAAAAGCTCCAAAATGTTGACGAAACCATTTTTAAACCCATTTTAGAACGTACTGTGAACTTCTCAAATAATTATTCGCCTTAATGCACATAAATTCCAAAGTTCATTGTATGTTGCAAAGGTAATATTGGCTACAATTTCAAAAAATATTAGTAAGGATAGAGATTTTTTCGTTTTAGCTCCATATCTAAATCGGCAAGTTGTTGTAAAAATCCTTCATTTGGTCGAATTTCGCGTCTCATACGCACTTTTCTTATCGCATCCGATGCAGACATTTTGCGGCAGATCATCAAATAAGCCAATACACACGTGGCTGACCTTGACATGCCCACCAAACAATGAACAAGAATCTTCCCTAAAATGTATTAAAAAATTATTAATTAATTAAAGATGTATGCAGGTACATATGTGTGTGGGGCGTTCCATACCAAAATGGACGGGGTTCACACTTCATGTGTTTAATTTGTTTAAAATGTTTGGGGTTGATGGATAATTAATAAAAAAGTATGAAATTTGAACTTGACTAATAAATTTTTAAAAACTTTACAGCACAAAAACAAAAACAAATCGATTTAATAGTATTCCAAATATCTCGTGAACGGGGCGAGAAAAAAGTTTAAAATTATCACACATACACACATCAAAATTCTCTATGAAAATAAATATTTTAAAAATTTTTTTTCTTCAAAAATTTTTCAGATACAAATTTTTTGTTTTTGAAAATATGTCATCTAACAAAAAATTAAAAAAAAAATCACAATGGTAGCTCCGAGTATTGCGCAATGTTTAAGTATAGTATTATGGGGTGCACTCTTCGATACCTTGAAACCAAGGCACATAAATACAGGTAGAAGCCAAAATGACGTTGCTCTCATGAGAACCAAACCTTTAAACTTCAACTTGATTTTATTTTGGCTGCGTTTCTTTATACATTCCGGATAATCCCATTTCACAGCCGGAATAAACAGAATGCGTTTGAAATATACGTTAACATATCATCAAGAACGTTCTAAAGAATAAGTAAACAAAAAAGTTTATTCCAAACGTTCAGAATGAATAAAGAAATACAGCCTTTATTTCCTATATTTCGTTACGCTTTGAATGTCATATCGTTTTTTTTTTTTTGAATGTTCGTTAATAACAAATTTTAATTTGCATTTGAATTTTTGTAGTGTTGTGCGGTTTATACTTAGTGTATGTGTTAAAAATGCAACACCTGAAGCGTTGTTTTTTATGTGGTGTTAAATATAAGGCAGATACCACTAATTTTTTAACGTGCCTCAATGTCCTTCGCGTAAGGAACGTTGCGAAAGCAGCTGGGAGCAGAGCTGCAGTGAAATGCCTTGCTGTGCGTTAAACATTTTAAAGAAGTAGATTCCACAAATACGCCGGGAGGTACAGGAAAGGCACGTTTGAAGCCAAGTGCTGTTCCTATGACCCTTATGCCGAAAAGTCCCTCCAACAACACTGCAACTCATAAAACAAAAACAGAAAACAACATACACGTTTTATAAAATTTTAACTAAAGAAAATAAATAAATAAGAATAAACTTCAAATATACTTAAAAACGTCAACCAGTGAAATGTATTTTTTTATTTTTCCTTACACACGCTAATTTTTATTTTTACTCTCCCGAAAACTTTGACTTTTGTAGGATTGACGTCAAATTGGCTTCTACCTGTTTTATTGTACCATGACTTGAAATATCATTTTTTTTTTACATCGAAGTTGAGTAAAATGAGTACATTACAAATTTACAAATTTTAAATTTTTTTTTTGTGGAATTATTTTGAGTATGTAAAATTGCGTTGATTTTTAATATTTTTTATGCTGACGGCTTTTTGCATTGTTTTCTTATGGAATCAAATGCGCAAAACCGGTTTCAAAAAAATTAAAAAAATCAACGCCGGTTTTGCAATCGCTTAAAACTTGCACTTTGTTATACTAAAATTTAATGGGCTACAAAACTGCATACTCAAAAACAAAACTGCTTTCTAAAAAAATTTGAAAAATTTTTAAATTTGTGATGTACTAATTTTACTCAACTTCGGTGTAAAATAATACTAGACTTAAATATTGCGCAATATTCAGAGCTACCATTGTGATTTTTAAATTTTTTGGGATGGCATATTTTTAAAAACTATTTTTATTTAATAAAAAAATTTGTATGTGAAAACTTAAAATTGTTTTTTAAATATTTCCTTTCATAGAGGATTTTGATGTGTGTATGGTGATTTTTTTCAAATTTTTTCCCCGTAACGTTCTCGAGATATTTGGGAAAGTATTAAATCGATTTGTTTTTGTTTTTGTGCTGTAAAGTTTTAAAAAATGTATTAATCATGCTCAAATTTCATATTTATTTATTACACTGTACAGCACTCGACTGGGTATTGTACCAAACCAACTTTTTTTAAGAGATTGAGTCATAAGTAAAAAAGTAGGTTCTCCGTTTTTCGAAGTGGAGTACGTGGTCCGCCTTTTTCTCTTATTTACATATATTGTATACATATAAGTTTTTTAGTGAAAACTTATATTACAGGTGCTATAACGGGCCAAAGGTCTGATTTTCGAAAAAAAACCACATTTAAAGGAAAAAAGAACTTTCTTTCATAAAAAAAAATATTTTAAACAAGAATATTACCAACCGATTTTTGAACAATTGATACCGTTGTAAAGGCAATTAAACCCCCTTTCCTCTGATATGCATATTTGTATACTCCGTTTATATTCGCCTTTACAGTGATACCAAGTTTTTAAAAATCGGTTAGCATTTTTTTGTGCAAAATATTTTTTTAAAGGTATTTTTTCCTTTAAATGTGTTTTTTTTTTGTTAATTCTTATATACAAAGTATACAAAGATGCATATCCAATGAAAGGCGGTTTAATCGCCTTTATAACGATACCAACCTTTTAAAAATCGGTTAGTAATTTTTTTTGATTACATGTTTTTTTTATAAAAAAAAGGTATTTTTTCCTTTAGCTGCGTTTTTTCTCGAATTTTTATATACTAAGTATACAAATATGCATTTTAGAAGAAAGGGGATTTAATCGTGTTAACACTGATACCAATTTTTTAAAAACTGTTAGTAATTTTTTGTTTAAAATATTTGATATTTAAAAAAAGGTATTTTTACATTTGAATGTGTTTTGTCTAAAATTATTATTAACGAAGTATACAAATATGCATACCGGAAGAAAGAGGGTAAATCACCTTTATAACCATACTAACCTTTTAAAAATCGGTTAATTATTTTTTGGTTAATTTTTATTTTTTTTTTTAAAAAAGGTATTTTTTCCTTCAAATGGGTTTTTTCTCTAATTTTTATTTACGAAGTATACAAATATGCACATCAGAAGAAAGGGGATTTAATCGTCTTTACAACGATATCAATTTTTTAAAAAACTGTTGGTAATTTTTTTGTTTAAAATATTTGTTTTTTTATAAAAAAAGGTATCTTTACATTTAAATGTGTTTTTTTCTAAAATTTTTATATACAAAGTATACAAATATGCATATCGGAAGAAAGAAATCGGAAAGAAGGTGAACGATATAAATTTTTTAAAAATCAGTACAAAGTTGTTTGCACCATAAGGAATTTTTCGATGACCGAAGTTATATACCATTTAAATAAAAACAAAAGGAGGACTAAGTTAATATTTTTAGGTTTTTAGTTATTTACATGAAATAATTAAATATAATTTTTAGCAAAGGTCCTATTTCGAACTTCGAAGGCCAATATCTCGATTACGGAGGCCAACTTCGAAAAAAGGAGAAATCACTGTTTTACCTATGACTCAATCTCTTAAAAAAATTGGTTTGGTCCAATACCAAGAAAAAGGTTGATTTTGCCGTACAGTGTTATTTATGTTTATCCATCAACCCTAAAAATTTGAAAAAAATCAAACACTTGAAGTGTGAACCCCGTCCATTTTGGTATGGAACGCCCCATGTATATGTATATGTATGTATATTGGTTGTTATGAGATAAGTATGTTCAACTCACCTCCACTACTGATGGCACTGTCTATGAACTTCGCAGCAACATAAAAGTATCGAGATATATCAGTGGTAGGAGCATCAACCATTGGAAAGCCCATATACCTGAAAATAGTATCTTTGTTGTTTCTTCTACAATATTTCAACAGTGTTTTTTGTCGAAAATAACAAATTGTATGTGAATGAATCAACAAAGCCATTACGGTTTTCATTAAATAAAATATTTGTTTTTTTCTAATTATAAACTATGCGTACATATGTATGTGCACACATATGTATGTATGTATATATGCATGTATGTATGTATATATGCATGTGTGTATATATGATATTATATTTTCCTCTTACAGAAACTACTTTTAACTATCCATCCATCAACTTGAATTTGAGGCTACCGGATCACTGTAGAGTTTTCCAAACAGAGGAATCCGCAATACGGGAATCTTCGGATTGGTTGCTCTCTAGTGTAGGGATGTTCAAATAAGATCGGTGTTTCCAAAAACCGTTTTTTTTTATTTAGTTAATGATATTTTTCAGTATTTTTTTTTAAATTTAGGTGTTAATCGTTCAAATTAACTACTTAATTTGACCTTATTTTATTGCACAATCAGGAACTACGAAAGTAGGTATATGGTCAAAATCGTTATATCTGTTGGATATTTTTCGGAAGAAAATATATCATAATAAGAGTTACTGTGGCTGGCGAAAATCCTCGGATTGAACCCTCCGCGAGGGTGCCGGCTGGAAATGTTTCTGTGGAAATGTTCTTTCCATCACTCTGCCATACGAAAATGGTCCTCGATCGTGGTCTGGAGGTAGGGGCTGGATCAAGGCGTTATGCGTACCGGACTGAGGATCAGCCTGTCTGGGAGCCCCTAAATACCCCAGTCGCTAATGGGGCCCTCTGGAAACCAGGCCGGTTGCATTCGATGGCCTTACCCTGGGTACTGCGGATCTCTGCCCGGGGCCGACGAACCCTTTCTCCGCGACTCGTGGGAATATGAGCGATACACAAAAAACCAAACCAAACAAAAAACAACAACAATGGAAATTGAGACCGGCACCCATATAAAGTCGTAAGGGCTATTGCCCAGACACCATGGGGCCCATGCGCTGCAGGGTCCCTCTACTAGCCACGACGTGACCAACATCAGTGGAGTAAGCCTCTGGCGATGCCGGGGTATCGTGCAACCACAAAAGCGGAATGGAATAGGGTGGGGGCACCGAAACGGGATTTTCCCGGCACCAGCGAAGGCAAACCTGGCTTGCAGCTTGCAGGCCCAAGGGGCACTAGAGCTGATGCGCGGGCCACGCCTCCCTCTACACCTACTGCCTTCACAAGGCCTGATGACAGGCCACCACTAAGCGCAGCCATTGCTAAGCACCGGAAGGCTGCCATGAGGATCTTAAAGAGATCCGCTTTAACACCGGACCTGTGTAGCAGGGCGCTGCCCTGTCACGTGGAAGAGATCCGGTCAGAAATAGCGTGGGCAATGACGATAGTGCCCGACTATCAGCTCGGAGAGCCGCCAGCTGCGGAAAAGCGCAACAGATCGATGGAAGTTGCGCAAAACAAGTCGAAGAGGGCCAGGACGCAAGGCGCCTCTTTTGCTGAGGTAGCCAATAATCGGATCCTGCTGGGTGTGCTCGATGAGAACCAGGAAGACGAATTGGCACTTAGAGCTCATTGGAAATAGGTTAAAGCGGAATTGGCGAGCATCTGCGTTAGCGTGCTTCGGGAGCACCCCGAACCACCTCCAATATGCCGGGATGCAGGTTGGTTCCAAGGCAACGTCAAGGTCGTCGCGTGCGAAGACGAAAGGTCTGCGGGCCTGTACAAGAAGGCGATGGCCACATTGGGAGAGGTCTTCCCAGGAGCGATGCTACGGGCTATGGACTTCAAGGACATCCCATCCAGGCCTAGAGCAAGGGCATGGATACCGGCCAAACCGACCGAGCCTGAGAGAGTGCTTCAGATTATAAGGCTCGTTAATTCCGAGTTACCCTCTCACAATTGGAAGGTGGTGCGACTAGAGCATAGCACAAAGGCGACTCGTCAGGCGGTCCTTCCGCTAAATAAGGAGTCCTTGCCACTCCTCGAAAAGACTGGGGGCGTCATTAATTACGGTTTCGACACCGTGAAGATAAGGGTGTACACGAACGACGTGAACGCAGCAAGAGGCAACGAAGTTGAGCCGGAAGAAGGCAATAGCAAGGATGAGTCGTTCGAGGAATCCAACCAGGCCAATCTGATGGACGACCTGGCTGGCGGATACGCCTCATCTACATCCCCTCTGGGAGTCGACCATATCTTCCGGCAATGTACAGACGACGACGAGGCGAACTAAACAGTGGTGGAGGGGGTGGCCAAGATGGTTCGCTTCCTCCAGATTTATCTCCACCACAGCAAAGCAGCGTCGGCTACACTGCTGCTCCAGCTCTCAAAAGGGGCAGCAGACATCGCCCTCATCCAGGAGCCTTGGGTGATAAGGCATAGAATTTGGGGGCTGAAGTCGGCAGAGCTGCCATAGGTAAACCCTGCATCCTTGTAAGTACCAAACTAAAAATATTGTTTCTTCCTCAGTTCAGTGACGAGGACACCACTACCATCAGTCTGGAGGCGAACGGACACAAATAAGGCTTGCCTCGATGTATCTGGCACATGACAGGCCTGTTCAAACCTTACCGGTCGAACATTTAGGCGAGCGCTCGGACGGGGCCCTGATTTTAGGAGGTGATGCGAATGCACACCATAGCACATGGGGAAGCGGAGACATCAATGAACGGGGTGAGTCACTCTTTGAATACATACTAAAACCTAACTTAGTTATAAGCAATAGGGGTAGCGAGCCTATCTTCATAACGAAGAGCAGAAGAGAGGTCCTTGGTGTTACCCTCGTCTCTTAAGATGCGGAGGTTATGATCAGTAACTGGACGGTGCTTGATGAGCATTCCTTCTCTGATCACCGCTTCATCCAATTCGACTTAGATGGGGTCCCGTCGAAGGTACCTCCCAAAAGAAATCTAAAGAAAGCCGACTGGCATAAGTACAGAAAAGAGCTTGATAAGCGCCTCTCAAGAACCACACTAGCAATTCCAGGGAACTCTACGGACAAAGATGGGCTGGCAAATCGCTTTACTGCGGCGTGTGGCAAGGCTCTGGATCAGGCCTGCCCCATGGTGAAGCCGAGAGGCAAAAAGAAACCAGCTTGGTGGAGTTCAGAGATTGACGAGAGCCTTGAGAGATTGTCGTAGAGCCTTCAATCTCGCAAAATCCTCGGAAGGCGATATGCAATGGGAAATCTATAAGTTAAACTTGAAATATTACAAGAAATTATTAAGGAAGAGCAAGACATCCTCATGAAGGAATTTCTGCAGTGGTATGGAATCCATATAAGAAGGTTCTAGGCTCAGGAAGGTTCTCTCTAGTTCACCTCGTATCGCCCCGGGATGCTTGCTAAGATCCGACGGAGCGTGGACGGAAACTGGGGAGGAATCCCTAGACCATCTTCTGAGCACGCACTTTCCAGGCGCCACGGACCAGCCACTGAACGAGCCAATAAGAGATAGAGGTCAACCGGTTACAGTAGACCTTACCACCAAAGAAAAAGTAATGTGGGCAATAGGATCCTTCAAGCCTTACAAATCTGCGGGTCCAGATGGTGTTATACCGATTCAGCTGCAGCAATCTATGGAGCTAAGCTCAAAATGGCTGTATGCTATTTTTAAGGGAGTCGTCACTCTTAACATCATTTCGGAGACCTGGCAAAGGTCAAGAGTTGTCTTCATTCCCATACTAGCGCCAAAGATTTTAGACCTATTAGTCTATCATCTTTCCAGCTCAAGATAATGGAGGGACTGATTGAATCCTTTCTTAGGGAATCGGTTGCAGACAAACTTATGGCTTCGCAGCATGCCTATATGAAGTGGAAGTCCACCAAAACAGCGCTACACGAAATCGGGTCGCATATTGAGAAATCCCTTGCGATAAAGGAATACACCTTGATAGCATTCTTAGACATTGAGGGTGCTTTCAACAACATCACAATTGAAGCAATCACTTCAGCTCTAACGGGTCTGGGCATCGACTCACAGCTGGTGTCGCTTATACGACAGCTGCTAGTAGGCAGAGTCGTGCGGGCGGAACTGGCGGGGTTGTTGCTGGACAGATACGTTTGCAGGGGAACCCCGCAGGGTGGGGTCCTCTCCCCCCTTCCATGGGTCATGGCGATTAATGAATTATTGCAGACCCTGGAAGGGGGGGGGGATGCTCCAAGGTCATTGCGTATGCTGACGACCTTGCGGTGGTTGTGATTGGAAAATTTCCACAAACTCTGTGTGACATTATGCTGGACTGACTAAGGCTAATCGAAAGATGGACCAAGGAGAAAGGTCTGGGTGTTAACCCAGATACCTGGTACCTCTTTACCAGGAAGTACAAAATCCCCTCACTTCAGCTTCCTGCCATAGGCAATAAGATTCTGAAGCTAAGGGAGTCCGCAAAATATCTAGGCGTAGTCCTGAACAAAAAGCTGCATTATGCGCAAAATATACAAGAGCGTGTAAAAAAAGTCGACGGTAGCCCTCTACAGCTGTAAGGGGCGATTGGGCGTAGCTGGGGGCTGTCCCCTAACATCATGCACTGGCTATACACGGTAGTTGTTAGGCCGATTCTATTATATGGGGTCTTGGTATGGTGGCCAAGTCTCAACAGGAAATCTACAACTGAAGCACTCCAAAAGGTGCAAAGAACTGCGATGCTCTGCATCTGTGGGACTCTGCGCACAACTCCATCGGAGGCTATGTGCGTGCTGCTCAATATTTTGCCAATTGAAATTGTTAGAAAACAATCAGCGGGGTGTGCCGCCTTGAGGTTGAGGGAACTACCAGGCTGGAGGGACACTCAGGAAGGCCACACCGCAATCTTAAAGAACGTAAATATACCAGACACAGATTACTGTGCACCAAGCTTGAACTTCATAAAGAGGCAAAGGATTTCCATTCCAGATACAAAATTCTGGTCAGGAGGGGCTTCCGATGACAATGGATCACTCCACCGATGGCTAGACGGCAAGGTAGGAGGGGGAGGGGCGGGGTCTTCTCAGCGCGGCTGGGGCTGGACATATGTTTTCGCTTACCCAACCACTGCAGCGTCTTTCAAGCTGAGGTCGCTGCTCAACAGGAAGCGGTTGAACACCTACGTACAAGAGAAGTCATTTATAACGATATCTTCATTTACTCAAACAGTCAGGCCGCACCTAACCTAACCTAACTTAAGAGTTACTGTAGTGCTTTATCCGATCTGTAACAATAGCCGCTCGCTGTAATTTAAAAACTAGCTAAAAACTAGAAACATCAGTGATGACAAATTGGAAGCTGTGGTCCGTAGCTCGTCGTTTTCAATGTGTTCAGAACTTCATGGTGACCAAAGTATTCTCTGCTAAGCGTTAATTGTAGCAGGCACGGGCGTTATTCTCGCTGCTGTCGAAGCGACGCCAGCGCCAACGCAACACCAATGTTGTATATGGACGGGACTTTAGTTTTGTTTGTTTTACAATGGGCTTACATGTACAACTATTGTATGCCCTGAACTTGAGCAATTCTTGCGGCTGTTTGAAATTTTGGAGAACTACAGTATTCATATTTCTTGAAAATATTTTTGCGATTATTTTACAATTAATCGATTAATGAAACACAAACTACGCTGCAAGGCGAATTTATACAAGGTGGTGTTGATGGCGAATTTAGATTATCGCCGCGGTACTTCTTAATGTCAAAATGATGTGTTGGTTGTTGTATGAATTCGCCTTGTTTACAACAAAGACATCATTTTGACATTAGGAAGTACCGCGGCGAAAATCTAAATTCGCCATCAACACCACCTTGTATAAATTCGCCTTGCCACGCTGGAAGAACTCCCTAAGCATGTTGCCCATCACTGCCCTAGATACACCAGTGCACCTTTGACATTTGATTTGAGCGCATAAGCTCGCTCACTAATTACGGATTTTTTGTTAACAACGGTTGCGCTCAACTAATGTGCCTTCTGCACGTACCTACTGTTTTAACGTACAAATTTTATAGTACACATAACTGTAACAACAATTAAGTAAAACGACAAGACTTGAATAAATCGTTAAAATACATATGTGACTGGCCGTCTTCAACTGGATTATAATCTTTTTTTGTTGACTTTGGTCATACTTACGGAGACCATCCGTCCTTTATTTTAAAGGACAGTCCTTTATTTTAACCCCCTGTCCTTTATAATTTTTTTCAAAATAAAGGACGCCTTTTGACCTTTGTTTATTAAATTGTCCTTTAAATCCGCTCTGCATTTTTCATAGGTAAATTTTTAAACACAGAATATGAAAACTAAAAATCTCCCTTACAAAACATAATGAAAACCTCCGCCAGTTTGTTTCGCCGCCACTTAATCTATCTTTCTATTTAATCGATAAACTTTGTACAATTTGTAAAGCGGGATCGTGTTGCGCGCTAAGTTTCCAATTCCACTAAAAAACAAAACAATAAAACCCTGCTGCACAAACTGGCATTTAATTTGATTAATTTTTATTTTTTAATGAAAGATTATAATATTTGCAAGAGACCAGTTGAGCCCAATTTGTGAATATTTATTTGATTATATTAAATTTTTTAGTAAAACATGCAGAAAAGGTAGCAATTTTGATGAAAATGTGTTCTCCGTTTCCAGTTAACAAATGTTACATAACAATAACTAGTTGAAAACAATTGTATGGTTCTCCCAAAACGAAAAAATTACACAAGAAAATGTTGAAATATTATAAAAAATGTTAACCAAAATATATATTTTTCTTTTGTTTTTAGTACAAATTAGTTGAAAAAAGAAGGCTCCAGAAAATTATCAACATTAAATTCCAATTTTGAACCACTGTGTGCTGGCTTCGTCGTGCAGTATGGTATGGTAAACGCATTTTGGTAGCAAAGGACTGCGAAGTGCTTGAAAAGGATTTGGCTTAATTTTTCACTACAGCAGCTACTGGTAAATATTTGATTTAAATTACGATATGGGTAAGGTACTTTTATCATACAAGTTGTATGTACGTATTCCTAAATAATTTTGAAAAAATTTCCTTTATTTTACGTTGGTTAATATGGTCACCGTAGTCATACTAAATCTTACTTTGGTTTCTTACATAAGTCAAAGAGTGATTATTTTGTTTGGAGCATACATACATACATACATACATAAGCAGTTACCAAGTTGGGAAGAGTAAGACTTCAAGAACGACTTTTTAACTGACTTCAAAAAGGAAGAGGTTATCAATTCGTCGGAATATTTTTTTTTGTATAACTTTTGCCGCGTTAACCGACTTCAGTTCCTCCCATGCTAAATTGGCATAGATCCGATCATTGGCTCATAAAGAAATTAACGCTACTCTTAAATTTTTATATGAGAATTAAATTCGGTTTTGTTTTTTGGTTAAAAACTACTTGTTTTCTTCTTATAAGCCAACATTAACACATATTATCATTAATTTTTTACACATCATAAATGAATAGCTGGCATACACTTTTGCATACTTAACTTGAGATTTTCTTTAGAAAACGAAATCCCTATCTATGTAAGTTTCTTGATTTTTTACAAAGGTAAACAAATTTAAGTTTAAAAGTCATGAATGCTTTCATATTCTTTATTTTATTAAATGCTGTAGGAAGTACTACTCATATTTTATTGTTTTAAAATTCTACTAGGTTTTTGGTGAGTACTCTTCTCACTTTTGTATGGCTCTTGAACGTTTGAGTTAAGGCCTTTCCATTGTGTATTAAGATAACGAAATGGTTGTAAATGTAGAAACGATTTTATACACACCTTATACTTGGCATATCACGATAGTAACTGTGTCCAGTGTCCACCTGCCCGTAGCGACAGCCTTCGGCGGCATTTAGAACATGAGTAATTCCCATCATTCGAAGAAAAGATTTGTTTTTTGCCGCAGCCCTGTAATATAGAAGAAATAGTTGCACGCAATAATTCAAAGTTATATACCATGCTTCAATAATACAAGGTTGNTGAAAGCAAGGAACCTTATATTTGTTAAAAAATGGAAGTAAACAATGAAATATTTGAATATGTATAGATTTTAATAATTATTTAGTGATATTTCAGCCAAATCAGTGTAGTACCAATGACATGTAAACAAACCGTCTGACGTTTTTACAGGAAATAGTGCTTTTTGCGTTCCTGTGCACTTCTGCATCTGTTCTCCTTTTACTCTCATTTGAGAGCGTAAAATTGTAGTTTGACAGTTCCACAGGTTTTAGTCCGAAGTTCAAAGGAACAGACTAATTGAAATTTATGTAAATCGACTGCCCTGTAATGTTGCTCTTGAGAACGGAGAGAAAACGGGTAACCATTTTATCCCCTTTGTGAAAAGGTAGTAGGAAAATTAGTTTGATAGTGCTCAAATGCGTTTTTTGTATAAAAATGTATAATGTTGTAAAAATGTAAGTATATAGAGTAAAATATCATATTTCGCAAATCTTGTTTTACATGCTTAAAATAAATATATTTTTTTAGAAAATTATAATAAAATATTAGCCAGATTAAAAGAAATGTGTTAAATATTGACATTTTCGTCATAACACAATGCCATTTCACATACAAAATGTATGTATGTGCGTACCCGGGTATGCTGCTGTTGACGTACGTATAATTTGTCTGCTGTTGACATAAAGGTTAAGCCATTCCGATAAGATTTCGATTATTGGCCTCTTTTTATCGTTTGCTGGCCCATAGTGCAACGCTAATGTGACCAACTGTTTCATAGCTCAAAGAAGTACAGCTTAGGTTGGGTTAAGTAACGCCGAGAGCCGATTACGAAATTTCGAATGCGGCTAATTTCGATCCCTGAGCCTCGCGAAGGTTGGACTGTCTAAAAGAAAGTTTGGATATGATTCCACTTCAGCCGAAATTCCTAGTCTCACCGCATCAATTCCAATCGCATAATGGCCTGTCAAACCCTTCATCACTAGCCCTTGAGAGGTAACGTGCTTTAAAATGCCCTATAAAAACATTTGTTGCAGCAGACAAATGGCTTCTTTTCCATTTTTTATGCCACAAAAGGACCCAGTTTCCCTTAGCCTAATAGCAGTTCGAGCTGCGACAATTCTGTCTGCAATATCCGTAGGTGTGGTTCCTAATGCTCCGATAATTCCTGTTTTACAAGTGCAGCCTTCTCTAGTGAGCTCCACCACAAGGGCTCCTTAAAACAATAAAGGCTTAAATCTGGTTTCCTAGAGCTAATGAATTAATTTGGGCGAGAGACCCCACCTTTTACCGATAGCTCCCCTACAGCAGTACAAGGCACCCGACACCTTTCCTACCCTTTCCCAAATGTTAAGCTTCTACGACAGCCGCCGTTGATCGCCTATTTAGTTACCTGGTTCATGTAACCTTAAGTCAGATCAAAAAGGCTGTATAGAGCTCGTTCCTTAACCAAAAGTTCCACATCATCTACATAGGCGATCACCCGACAGAACACTTTTTCCAGTTCCTATAGAAAGTCGTTTACAACTGCAATTCAGAGCAGGGGAGAGAGAACACCACCTTGTGGAGTGCTCTTATTGACTCTGCACTGAGTGAAAGTGCTCACCCACTCCTCCGCGACAGTTCTGCCACGAAGTAAGCTATAGATAAGCCTTATTAGGTTGGTTTCAACCCCATATTATGAATATACTTGACTATTGCCTCTGGAGTGACATTGTTGAAAGCCCTATCGATATCGAAGAAGGCCCCTGTTGCATAATTTTAATGCGTGAAGGCTTCCTCTGACCACTTTACCAATGTGGGTAGGGCGGTATTCACCGCCCTTTTCTTGCAATAAGCATATTGAGTTCTTGAAAGACAGTCACGAAGAATCGAATTTCTTATGTACAGGTCTATCAGTCTCTGTAGCGTTTTTAGCAAAAGCGTTTTCAGAAAATTCGAAGAGACTGAAAGGCCTAAAATCCCTAAGGGAAACATGACAGCCTTTTTCGGCCTTCGGGATGAACGCAACACTGCTTACCCCCCAAGTCTTTGGATGTACCCGATTCTCATGCAGTTCGTATAAATACGATCCAACCAATTGCACGACACCTTCATAGCCCTTTGCAGCTGCGCAGGTATGATGCCATCGGTCCCCGGCGACTTTAATGGGTTGAACGAATTTATTGCCCAGGCCATGTGACGATCGTCAAGAAGATCGGAGAAGTACAGCACCTGCAGAGAGATTTTGTAACCAGTTAGCGACAATTTTCGAATTGCTATCGCACTGTTTGACGTAAAAACATTAATATCATGCATCAAAAAGTGCGTTAGCGATCCGAAAATTGTCGCAAACTGGTTACAGAATCTCCCTCCTGAAGTACAAAATATCGCAAAGAAGTACATTTGACTGTACTTCGAAGTACGAAGTACAAGAGCGATAAAAGAAGTACGGTTGGTCACATTATGCAACGTACTAACAAATTATTCTATAAACAAAACTAGATAGATTTTGAAATGGAAACATTTTTGGTGATCCCTTAAGAAGCTAAAATCTTAATTAATTTTAGAACGTTTTACAACTAGCAGCGATACCGAATTATTAGTTGTGATGGTATTCAACCATTTGCTACTTACACATCACCAATGTAAATACCGGGGTACACCTCATCACAGTCAACATCATATGCGGCGCATTCTGTTCCCCGCAGTCCAGGAAGACTTCTGTATGGTGCTATTGAATAATGGAGAACTCTTTGCAGTTGACGACCGGTAGTTTGATCCGAGCTGGATGGTTCCAATCGACTAGGAAGCTATTAAGTAAATGGAAAATGTTAGAACTTTTATTGACATTACCTGTATTTATTTAGTAAGGATATGAACTTTGTACGATTTTTGTGTAACTTTATCTCGTAGAGAATACATGTCTTCCCCTTAGTGGGAAATTTTTTTTCGAAGATATCTCAAGATAACTTTCAGGGAGTTTTTCGAAAAATTATCCTTTTAGGTGTAGGATTAAAATGTCCCTACATTAGCTTTACAAATGTTTTTATATATGAGGATTTATTAGAGTTTTTACCAAAAAATATGATGCAGCAAAAAGGACTTGGGGCTTTTGCTACTGATGCCAAAAAGTTTCACTGGGTTAACCCCGATACCAAGCCTTGGCTTTCTTATTGTAAAGACTTTACTGATGACTCAAAACCTGACGCAGGGGCAGGATCTGTAGTCTATATCGAAAGTAACGGAAACTATTTTCACTTCTCCTGAAGACCATGGACTATGTTGTGGAAAATAAGTGGAGGAGTAAGAACCAAGCTGTATTTAAGGCTTTGGTCAGTCCTCTAGTTCGGAAATGCAAGCCTCGGTTGGATTTGGTTGGAAAACATAATCCACTTATTTTACTCTGGTTGCCAGGTCACTCGTGAGAACCAGGTAATGAGACATTAACCACTTCGTTACAGAAGGTTCAGACCAGGCGTTCCTTGGTTATAGCACTCCCTCCGTCAGAAACCTGCTGACTATTTCGTTGACAAATGCCTGTCAGTAATAGGGATGAAATACAAGTACATACTATATACTTTTCGTTCAATACCAAGTAATTTTGGTATCGATACTTTTGAACCAAGTACGGAGTAGATAACGAAGAAAGTACTCGTATCGAAACCCAATACCAAGGCAAATTTTCTTTCGAAATTTTTTCCTAAATAATATAACTCGCCCAGTGCTTTATGGCTTTTTAAACTCTAAATATTTAAGATGTTAATTTTTTTACTCAAAACAGTATGAAATTAAATTTTTAACAGATATTTTTGCTGTTCTTGCATCAGAGAATATATTTCCTTGGTCGCAAAAACCAAAAAATCCATTTAATTTGTTTTAACGTTTATTGCCGTCGGTCGCTGTGATGTAGTGGTAAGCAGTGCGCGCTTCCACTCCGCAGCACCTGGGTTCAAACCCTGGTCGAAGCAACATAGCAAAAAATATAGTAAAAAGGTTTTTTTCTTAACAGCGTAGGTCCCTCCGCTTTGTGTGACAACATCAAGGCGCACGCCACAAGTCGGAGGAGAAGCTCGGCCAATCACTAACATACATATGTGTAAGCGCCAATCTATTATTATTATTAACGTTTATTGCACGGTGTTCTTAAGTCAAAAGGACAACAATCCAAAGATTTTTCTTTTGAAGGCTGGTCTTGACGTCAAGGTAATTTTCCATGTAATCATACATCAAATTTTTGGTTTTTTGTCTTTTTTACATAAAAACAGCTTGTACTAAACTTAAAAAAAAAAATAAAATAAAAAAGGGGAAAAATTAAACCATCTATTTTTAAATGTCATTATATTAGTTATTTCGTTATCTCTTCTCGTTTGATTGTGTCCCCTTTTTTCAAAAATAGAACACTGTGCGGCTTATTCACGGCCCAACGCACGGAGTAACTATATTATTCTTCGCGCTGAAAACAATATCGGACAATATTAAGGGTGGTGGAGACTAGCTCTGTTAATGAAAACAAGTAAGAAAGTCTAAGTTCGGGCGGAGCCGAACATGAAATACCCGGCGCAAGTATTAAATATATGTTTTTTCACCCTTCCGAAACCTTCCGCTAGTTGGTAAGCCGAGGTGTATCAATTTTGGGTAAATTAGCGTCCTTCAATTTCGAAATACTGAAGTTTCAAGCATTTCTTAAATTTACCGTTATATGAGAATCGGCCATTATTTTAGTCCGATTTCAATAATTTTCAACGTTTTGCTTACACGTGGCAAGTACAATAACGATAACGAGTTTGGTACAAATTGGTAGAACGGTTACTGATATACTTATATGTGATCATAAGTGGGCGGTGCCACGCCCATTTTCCAAAATTTTACCATAAACGTATTTCTTGGTAAAGAATTGTTGCAAGCATCAATTTTGAATAAATTAGCTTCAATATTTACTGATTTATCGAAGATTTTGTATTTCTCTAAATTACCGTTATATGGGATGTGGGCGTGGTTATTGTCCGATTTTAAAAAGTTTCGGCGGTTTTTTATGCTGTACCAAGGCCAACAACTGTGCCAAGTTTGGAAGAAATTGGTGCAGCGGTTACCAAGATATACACATGTAACCATAAGTGGGCGTGGCTACGCCCATTTTCCAAAAATTTATAATATTCTTATTTTTCGTCTAAAAATTATTGTAAATATCAATTTTGAGTGAATTATCTTCAGTAGTTACTAAAATATCGCAGTTTTCGTATTTCTGGAAATTACCGTTATATGGGAAGTGGGCGTGGTTACAGTCCGATTTCGCCCATTTTCAATACCAACCTACCTTGGATTAAGGGAAACCTACATACCAAATTTCGTTGAGATATCTCAATTTTTGCTCGAGTTATCGTGTACACGGACAGACGGACAGACGGACAGACGGACAGACGGACGGACAGACAGACATGGCTTAATCGATTTCTTTTTTCATCCTGATCATTTATGTATACATTTGTCTATATCTATCTCGATTCGTTTTGGCTGTTACAAACAACCGTTATGTGAACAAAATTAATATACCCTTGTGCACAAGTGCGCTCGGGTATAACTAGAAGCAAAGGAGAAAATAATAGGCTACAAAATGTGGATGACAAAAAAAATAGTTATCTTAGAAAAAACTAAACTGTTCAACGTAGCGCACCCCAGAAAAGCGTTACTTCTTACTATAAGAGATATTTTCTCAACTTATAACCCAAGGTACAACATATCTGACCATGATAAAAAATCAAATTGAATATGGACACTGAGTGCTCAACTCATGGTTCTAGGGTTAAACGAGATTAACTTCTAAACTTTTTCAAGGTATTATCCCTGTAAATACCATTCATTATTAAGCATATAGTTTTGCTGTGTTATGTTGTTGTTATTATTTTCAGTTCCAACATTGTTCGGAGTTTAGAATTCGCCGAGGATGATTAATTTATTACTTAAAAAATTAAATTTAATCCAGTTTATACGGAATGCCTTTATAGCCAAAAGTACCGTTTCGAGTAGGTATCGATACTTTAGATCAAATTTTAATAAGCAAAAACAAAAGTGCATCTGCATTTGCACCTTATTAAATATATCCTAGTGAAAAAATACAAAGTTTTGTAAGTATTTTTGTTAGTTTGCTGGTTTATTTGAGCAATATTTTAGAAGATCGCCAAATGATAAAAACTGATATGTAAAAAAATGGCGTCCACGTGTATTTGACAGTTTTACCAGTTTTTACCCGAAAAGCGTTCCCGTACTTTTTGGTTTTTCTCTCTTTCTCTGAGAGCAATTTTGCTTTTTGACAGTTTTAGAGGTTTTATCCAGAAAAGTTGAGGAACGGAACTTGTAATTAAACTGTATACCCAAAAGTATTACAAAAATCAGGGTTGGGCATTCTTGCACTGCCACTGAATTGCACTATTCAGTGATTGTTAAAATGCGGAATTCATTATCACTGAAAATGTCCATTGATAATGAATTCTGCATTTTAATTACCCAATGCCCAACTCGGCTAAAAGTTCAGAGAAAAAAGTTCACAATTTCAGCATAAATTTTTTGAATTCTTCTAAATGTGGAATATAGCTTTAATCCTTGATTTCTATGATTTTGGTTTAGGCACTAACAATATTATTTTACAAAAAAAAACAGTAAAAAAATTTATTTGAAAAATATTGTGAACAGTATTGATTGCCAATGTGCTTGTAATATGTGTTTTTGTTTTTTTGACTGCCGCTACCACCTTGTATAAATTCGGGGTATGGAATTTAGACCGCGTGAATTATGGTCGCGCTCTTATTTGTTCGGCGAAAAAATTTCCCGCGCGGCCTAATTTCATTTTTTGATTGGCAAAATTAAATTATACGCATCAAATCACAAATAAATTTTACTTTTCATTTGGTCGACAAATCTAACCACAAAATAAAGAAAGGTGTTATCTGCAAAAGGTGTTCCACGTCCCTTTTCTTTGGCAACACAAAAAGGAAATTATACTTCGTGAGGGTTATAATCAGAGGTGGGCACTACCAAAAACAAGCGTTACCCAGTAGAAATTTTAAGCATACAACATCGCTGTTGGTGGCATGAGCTTGCTGCTGTGTATACATGCCAGCATAAATGAACCTTCATTTCCATTTAACACGCGTGGTTTCTCAGAGCGTATGCGTACCTTAATCATACACTTGTACTAGTGCTGTATGCATATGGCTGTATTAATGTTTCAAATATACAAAATTGCATTAATGTAACAGTATTAAAGCATTCTTACAAGATCCCCATATGTAAATGCTACTTTTCTGATACATTTTAATATACGAGGACATACAAACAAGTAGGACTTACATATGCAAATGCATATCTTGTAAAAGCCCGTTTGTGCTGAAAATAGTATCGCACAACACGTCCGTTCACTAAAATTTTTGTACAAGACTGAAAATATTACAAAATACACAAAATATTAAACCAACGACAACGTACATTCGCTTGCAATTCGTTAGAATTTGAATTTATTCGTGGAAATTCATGACTACGCATGAATTGTTCACACTAATTCACTCATATTGCAAGCATCCTTCAAGAATGCATACAACCGATTTCTACTGGGTCATTTTGCACGCTGTCGCGTCTCATCGTTACGGTCTTGCTTGTATGCGTACACACGATGATTACGCTCTTTGAGCGTGTGCTCGTTCTCTGCCCATGCGTGGTTATAATCCCTAAGCGCGGCCGCAGGCAGCCCACGCAGATAGGTGTTCTCTGCAAAAGCTGTTCAGCCCCCCACGCGGGATCCTTAGTCCAAGAATAAAAAAAAAATATGCGTACGCTTGGTTTGGAACCAAGAATGATTGAATACAAGATTGCGCCAATCGAGCTGAGAGCAACTGGCCGTGACGTCAAAAAATACCAGAATGAGAGTGCAA